GGGGGGGGGGGGGTCACCGGGCTTTAGGCTCGACCAGCGCTCTCGTGTTGAGCGGGCAGGGAGGCGGCAGATGGGGGCAGGCAGCCCCAAAGGGGAGATTTCTCCTCTAGCGCCGGGGGAGCCCCGTTCCACAGCCCCCCAGCTCCGGTGGCGCCAACAGCGTCGCCGTGGGGTATCAGCAAAGGGCCACAACCGACCCCAAAAGGCGTCGCTTTTAAGTTAGGAAGGAAGGAACAGCACCGTGCTTCCTCTGAAGCCCCGGGGAATAAACACCTATTTTTAAAAGCCTACAAAAGAGGCAAGATTTAGAGGAAAGCTTCCTCCTACGCCCTCCCTCAGCCTCAGAAAGAGCTGAAAGGACACAATCTTGTTTTCACACCGTCGCCTCGAGGTGCTCAAGCCTGCCAACGCTTAGACCCCGACTTTCCAGACCCACATCAGAGCGCTCACGCAGGACGACAGGTCCGTGTTTACCTCTCTCCTCCAATCTGAGTCTCCTCAAAGAGCTCGCAGCGGCCCAGGACATCGTCCGACAGGGCGTTGACGCTGGTCTGGATGGAACCGCCACACGCCTGTGTGGAGAGGAGAGAAACCGTGGCATTACCACCCTGACAAACAAGACCAGTTTGACCAGCAGGTTCCCACTCTCCAAAAGGCAGCCCAGACTTTCAGCTGATGCAAGGCCACCCTGCAGGAAAAAACCTCTCCTCCTTCTCCCATCTCTAGGCAGGCTACCAACATCAGAGATGATCCTCGACAGCAAAATAAGGTTATGCTGCTTCTAAGTGCTGACTCACAGGCTCTGGAGTCCAGCAGCTGCACTAAGGAAGCGCAGGAAAAAAACACTCATGATGGAAGAGGCAAGAACTAGGGAAAATAAACCCCTACAGACCCAATGTACAGACCCCAACGTATAACAACATCAGGGAAACAACAAAAGCAGCGTAGAGGGAATGAACAATCACACACGAATTGCACCAAGGACCAGCTTTGCCGGTATATGGCAACTTTACGTAATAAATTGTGCCATTTTTGCCAATGTGGTTTCAATCTTTGGAAGGAACAGAGCATTCAGCCACTGATTGCTGCCCTGCTTTGGCAAGGACCAGCCTGGCACCGTTAAAACGGGATCCAAAGCCTTTGTTCTGAAACAAGGCAGCTCACCATCATCGTTCGCTTGAGATCTTCCTCCGGGACACGGCCAGCACAGAACATGTCTCTGTCTGCAAAGTACTGAGTGGCCACGTCGCCGATGGGAAGTTTGGAGAGGACAACTTTGGCTCCTGACTTGTGGATTTTGTCTAGTTTGTCATACAAGATGTTCCACTCGGCATCCACGATGGCCTGGTAATCCTGGCAGGGAGGGCAGAGAGACAAGCGCTCACGTTAAAGGACAGCAAACGCCCCCCCGCAGCTCTCCTAACACCAAGGCAGCAGCGACGCTGCCCTGCGCAGCCCCGGCAGACAAGGGCTTTCCAAGATTCGGGTGATTTTAGGTCGCCCCATTTTTATGCCAAAGAGCTGCGGCTGTTAAAACGCTTCCAGCAGCAGGAGGGAGTCGATTAAGGGGCTGGATGAGCTGGCAAAGAGGCAGCGACAGCTCAAGAGAGAGCCCAAGGAGGAAGAAGGGATTACGCTGGTGTCTGAGAGGGGTTTGCAGAGCTGTGCATGATGCCGGGGCGGAGAGACTTAGAGTATCTATCAGAGGAAAAACACAAATCCTGAGAAACCTCCTGCTTTACCAGCGTGCTCAGGCTTCAGTTTGTGCTCCCGCCGTCAGCGAAATACAGGCAGACAGCCGGGAGGGCTTACACACACCCAGCAACACCACACGCGGCAGGTGACTACAACAGAAGGGACCATCGTGTTCACCACCACAGAGGGAACCTTTACTGAGACCCCAGAGAGGCCGAGACCCCAAAAGCCAAGCACCCCGGGGACCTTTAGACCCCCCCCCAACTACACAGGGACCAAACACACACACAACACCGCCGTACTTTCAGGGTGGTGTCAGAGAACCACCGCGTTTCCCAAAGGTATTTTACCAAGACAGAAGGAGAGCCCCTGCCCAAAGGGCTGCCGTGTCTGCTTCCACCTGCAGAGGCTCTTTCAGCGTTGGAAGCACGGCTGGACAAGCCTCCCCTGGAGGGCCACTTGTTTGACACTGACGGCTTACCACCGCGGAGCTGAGGCACGAGCCCCGAGCGGCAGCACCCCCTAAAGCCGCTGGAATTCCAGGTCTGCCGTAGCCTTCTCCCAAAGGAGGCAGCCCAGCCCAGCAGGGGAAGGACGGGCAGAAGGCAACACCATTTGTTCCGCCGCCTCCCTGCGGGCGGGAGGCAGCGGGACGGGCTCCCGTGCCGGCTCTTACCTCGACCGTGTTCACTCGGACTTCGGCGTTGTCCTTCTCGGCTTTGAGCTCCAGCTCCACGTTCAGCAAGGCGATTTTGGGAGACTGGTACTTCTTGGGCTGCATTTCGAAGCCAGCGTAAGAGAACGTCTTCTTAAAGGCAACGCCGGCCACCAGCTGCGAGTCCTTGAAGGCAGGGGTTGGCGTTAGGCTCAGCCCCTCCCCGAGGTTTCCTCAGCGGGGTTCGTCACTCCCACGGGAGACACCCCGCTCGCGGAGTGCTCGTTCACAAAGCGCCCCCCCGACAGCCGTCGTCTTTGATGAACCCACTTTTTGAGAACATAAGCAGCAAATATTTTCTTCTCTCTGTTCACCAAACCACCTTCTATCGCTTCCTTTCTACCCCTCCGAACACCGCAGCGAGAGACGCTGCCCACGGCCTGAAGACCAAGGGATGGAGCGATCTGTTCTCTCTCCGATGCCTTTCCCGCTTCTACCCTTGGAAGGCGGATACTTCTCAGCCACAGCCCCACACTCGGCATGGGAGGTTGCCCTGGTTTGGTTCTCCCAGCTCCATCACCACCTCCCGGATTGTTTTGTGGCAGGATGGCCCTGCTCAACCTGAAGTGAACTTTGTGATTTCACAGCTGGGAGAGAAACCAGCATCTCAACTTCCCACCCCGTGAGGATCTAACCACGGGCTGCGGACTCAGCTCTGCCCAGAGGATCCCCGTCCCTCCTAAGCTGGGACAAGCACAGGTTTTCTCTGCTCTATGACAGGGTGAGAAGACCCAGGATCTCCAGCCCTGTAAAGCAGCGTGCTAAATTATCTGCCCCACCCTCATACAGGTCTCCGAGGGGAATCTCCTGCAGAACACAAGGGCCCCACAAAACGGAGCAGGGAGAGCTGCTCTTCTCCAGAACGGGAGACACCGCCCTCCCCAGGGGACCAATTTCTGCAAGCCTCAGAACACCACCGGGCCCAGACACCACAAAACCAGATGCTGAAACGTTCCTAATTCACTAAATGAGTTGTCTGGACAGGACAATGGCATAATTACATAATTACAACGTCTCTTCTCAACGAAGATGCTTGCACAGACTGTTTACAGGCAGGAACAGCCACAGAATAGTAATTCACAGAGCCCGTGGCAGGCTTTGCTTTTCAGAAGGGCCCCAAAATCAACACAGGAGAGCGCACAGGGACACCAGCTGTCCCACAGCCCACAGACAACTCCCCGCCACACACTCGTGTGTGGTTCCATACACAAAGGTACTCCATCGTATCACCAACAACGGGTGGCAAGAGAGAGAAGAGTGTATTTGGCTCAAAAAAGCCGATTCTCTACCTACAGAAAAGAAATCCAGCCCTACTCACTGAGCTTCCTCCTCCTGCGAACAGCTTTGGTAATGCCTGACCAGGCCTCATCAAGCTGGGCTGTTTCTGCTCGAGCCGATCGCTGCCTCCCCTCCCTTCAGGCCAGGCCGCGGCAGAACTCACCTCCAAAGCGCCTCCTTGCACCTTCTTTATTCCGATCATCTTGAGCTGTAACAAGTCGTCCAGCATCATGACGGCATCCACAACCATCTTGGAGAAAAACTCTTTGCTCTGGGAGATCAGCTTGGAGCTCAGGGCTGTGGCCGCACACTTCTCCAGGAGGCTTCTCTGCTCGCTGCAAGAAATTAAAAGACAAGGTCTTGCTCGCTTGTGGATTCTTTTCACGAGCTCATTAAACATTGTGCATGATTAATCCCCGCAGAGAGGCCAAGATCACTCCCTTCAGATCAGAGAAGGGCTTAAAATGCCAGGAGACGAGCTCTAGTAGCCTCACCTCAGCTGCAGGGACCATTTCCTTGCTGCTACCAGCTAGCTAACTTCATGTACTCAACAGCTAACAAGGGATCTGACTCTCAGAGAAGCACTGAGCATTTAACACCGCCACTGATGGCAGCAAAAGCTGCCAGTCTCCACCACCACTGGAAAACAAAAAAAGAAATCAGGCCGCTTATTTTGGTCCCTGGCTTCCTCCACGTGCACTGGAAAACACTGGCCTACATACTTCGCTGCAGCCCAAGTGAGAGCCCGGCATCTTCCCCAGAGGAGCAGGAAATCCCAAAAAAAACTCAAAATAACCCCAGTGTGGGGCTGCAGCTGGTCAGCCCGACCTCGACACCTCAGCCAGAGCCACAGCAGCAGTCAGAAACACTCTCCTCCCAGCTAACTGCAGCCCAGCTACACAACCAGGCCATCTGCAAGAGAAACTTACTCTTTATCTTCCTTCTTCACCGCAACGGCGATGTCTTTGATCTTGTTTACAGCCTGCCAAAACACAAGCCAGCAGCTGGATTAGTGATTCATGCTGATCACATCTCCAACTTCGCTCTTTGTATCTGGTCTTATCTTTTATTCCCTACTTCGACATCACTGAAGTTTCAAGCATTTAAGCTATTCCACCCCTTCCAGCACAGCAATTCTAAGAAACGCATTGATATAAATTTAAGAGGATCGGGAAGAGCCTCAGGGCTGCTTTCAACGGAGATCTGAGGAACCCAGGGGCTACTGAGGGAGTTAACCCCCAGAGAGGATTCAGCTTAATGGGACCGATGGGCTTCACATGACGTCAGGTTTAAGCAGCAGCAGAAATCAGAACAACAAATTTTCCTGTTTATTCATTCTGCCTTGGAAAAAACCAAAGGATGTGACAGAGCTCCAGAGGTGCCAACAGCTCACGGACAGCGGGAGAGACAGCTGATGCTCACAGCAAGACAGGAGCTCGCTCCTGTTGCTCCCCAGGGCCACGCATCACCGAGTTTTGCCTGGAAGTGTGTTATTTTCCCTCTTCAGCACACAACTCCTCTCCCCAGCCGCTCTGGTGGAGCCCAAAACACCCTCCCCAGCTCCGGCAGCGCCTCCTTACCAGCTGCGTCGCGGTGCGGAAGGCACGGATGATGATCTGAGGATGGAGGCCTTCCTCCACGTAGGGCTTCACTTGTTTCAGGAACTCGGCAGCGAGCAGAGTGACGGACGTGGTGCCATCGCCGACCTGCAGGGAAAGGGAAGGCTCCGTGTCACCCGCACGCCGCAGAGCCGCTGCGACAGTGACTTCCAAACCATGCAAGGGCTTCCAGAGGAAATCAGACTTCGTTATTTTCTCTGCTGGCCGGATTAATTAGCTATTAAGAAGGGCTGGGTTCAGACTACGTCCCACTTGAGGGATAGAGGGTCTCCTCAGCAAGTTTGCTGATGATATGAAGCTGGGAGGAGGGGCAGATCCAGCAGAAGGCTGGGCTGCCGTTCGGCGACACCTGGATGGGGAGGAACCTGGTGAGGTTTAACAGGGGCAAGTGTAGGGTCCTGCCCCTGGGGAGGGATAACCCCCTGCACCAGTACAGGCTGGAGAGCAGCTCTGCAGAGAAAGATCTGGGAGTTCTGGCGGATAATGGGATGACCATGAGGCAGCATTGTGTCCTTGTGGCCAAAAAGGCCAATGGCATCCTG